GGCTGCTCGCATACTAGTGCAGCATGCTTTCCAGTGCATCATTTTTGTAGCACATTATGTCCTCCTCGAGAGTAAAGCCTCACATTTTGTGCTAAATCGTACGAATGACTATCCTTTTTTTTTTCTTTTTTTTCCACATTCAGCTTCATTTTCATTTCAAAACATCACTTGAAACGAGGCTGGGAACCTCACAATTCAACCCGGACACTCGAAGTTTCGGAATTTTCTGTGATCTCTTCTGAGCAGGAAAAATCACCGAAGTTGTCATACGTTTTTTGTTACCTACGCATGGTAGAGTGGCAAAAATGGAAATGCGCCAAGTCGGCGCGGCGCTTATTTCACGGCCAGAACGAGTTTTTTTTAAATTTTCTGATATTTTTCCTCGCAAGGTCACAACCCTCAAATTTTTAGAATTTTCCGTGAATTCTCTGAGCGCGAAAAATCGCTGAAGTCGCCGTTCTGAAATTGCGGGACCAGGTCCAGTGGTTGGCGTTGGTCGCCGCCCCCCCGAAAAACTGGCCCGAACTCACAGGGAGGGCACTTTCCAGGAGGCGGATAGAGGGGTGTTTTAACCGACACCTGAGCACAGTGTCATTCCAGCGCTGTGCTCAGCGACACTGTGCTCACTGTTTATGGGTGCACGCTTGGCCATAAACCACATGCTAATGGGCGCTGTGTTAACCGGCCGCAAACTGGTAGGCCAAGGATGCCAGTTCAATTGCATGTAGCATCACGGATGGATTCAAGGTCATCGCAGCAGAGGTTAAGACACCAGTACCTTTGGCGCTTCCCTTGCCGAGCCTGGAAACACCCTTCCCGCCAAAAAAACGAAAGGGGTAACTTCGGTAGAGTCACAAAAAGAAGTTATAATACAGTTTGCAATTGCACTCCAGGCACCCTACGTGACCAGAAAGCTGGGTTGTATACATTGCCCGAACTGCAATTCAAAACTGTATCTTGGCCCACCGTAGTGCAATTACAACTCATTTTTGTAACTGCAGCGTCGTTTCCCCCAAAAGAAAACTTCCCAACGCAGGCCTCCTGTTGGCTTGCACCTCCGACCATTTTGCCCCGGTAGGCTCGACCGGCGAAACTTGCATCGAGTTACCAGGTGCGTCAGAAAAAAATGGCCGGGTGAGGTAGCGGCAGGTTGAGATACTCGCCTCTGGAGCCCAAGGGTCCCAGCTTAGGATCCAAGGTCACAGCTGCAGTGATTAAAGACCCTTGTCTCTGAAGGCCTAGGGTGGGGGTTCAATTCTGTGTGGTCTAACAGATGGATCCAATGTCACAACTGCAGTGGTTAACGTACTCGTCTCTGAAGTTCAAGGGTTCCCGTTCGACAAGTGGCTAACGGGGACCCCCACTTTCAGCTCTTGGTTGACCGGTTCAAAACTTAAAGATCAGAATTTTTGGATCAATATATCATAGGCTAGGCTAGGCGTCAATGTTGCAAACTATCCCAAACACTACCTGCCATGTATCAATCAGGAACGCTGGACCCAATTTCCAGCAGGCGGCTCCCCACCAATAGATGGAGCTTGCACTGCCGCACTTCCTGAGGATGCTCCTATCACCTCAGTAAGTGATGGTCAGTGTGCTGTTTTTCTTAAAAAAAAAAAAAAAAAAAAGAGTTTGGGGCTAGGCTACCAGAGTGGCCCGGGACCACTTGCGCGGTCGGGCCAAAAAAAAGAAAAAAAAAACAACCTATTTTTTATTTAAAATTTGGTAAGGAATTTCCTTCTTTTTTTTTTTTTTCTTTTCTTTTTCTTTTCTGAACAAAGCAGATATAACCGGGAAACGGGCCCGGCGTCCCTTACATCATTTGCTGCGTCCAAACGGGCTAAGCAAGGCACTCTCGGTCAAACCTATCCCTACCACAGCCCCACACGGTCATGACAACCAATCCCAGTCCCAACCATAAAACAAAAACCGCGTTCCCTAATTTAAGAAACCAAAATCCTAATCCGCCCCTTCTCCAAACCGCCATTATTAAGCAACCCTAATCTAGCGAAATTCAAGCCAGGTACTAACAAATCGCCAACCAAAAGCACGAAAACAAGATTGTCAATGATCTAATCCTAATTACCCACGGACAAAATCCCAAAATGATTCACAAAGTTCCAACTCTATACCCTACGCACCTCCAATCAGCAACCCCAACTAAAATCCAAATCAGCAACCCACGTGATGGACCAACCCACGGCCAAAAGCAACGACAATTCACAAAATTGAAAATTCATACTCTACACTCTGTATACCTCTAATTAACACCCCCAACCAGCAACAATGTAGCAGATCTTCGCCAATCTCTGAAAATCACGATCGTAATGAGCACCAATCCCTAATTGTCGACAAACAAAGTCAACGAATTACCAGTCCACAAAGACTAATTATACACCCCAAAGTTCCCAAACAACCGTGATTGGTATTATTCTATACTGAGAAGACACAGCCAAATGATTAGAATCTAAAAACACAACAAAGAATAAGTGAAAGCACCAAAGGTGAGAGAATCATGAGCAACACCATGCCCCAAGTAGGAGCTTAGACAACAATGGACAACCCCGGTCGCAGCTTGAAACTCGTTGTCAGTGACGATGGGCGGTACTAGTCGCGGCATGAAGTCCGTTCTCTCACTCCCAGAAGTCAACGTTTGTCGACGCACTCTTGTCCTTCATCTCCAGCTCTTTGCACCAGATAAAACTGCAACCGCCATTGCAACTCAATCATGTTCCGTATCTGTAATCAGAGGGCAAAGCCCCTGATCAGGTGATAATACTGATATGTACGATGCACAGATCTTGCCCGTTGACCAACCCCACATCTCTCCCCTTCCTTCTGTGGCCAATCTAGGATTACCAACTCTCGTTGGCCAAGATCAGGCTATGGCAGGTGCATGGTTGTGCCCCCTCGAAGCGGCCTCCACCTCAGCGTCCACACGCTCTATCACCTCTTCGCCTCCGCCATACCCAACACTGCCAACAGCAAGTTCTGGCTAAGCACAGCTTATCCGCGGCTGCCCCCGTGCGATCCCCCACCGCCCGTGCATCATACTAGCGCATGCGCCGTTCCACCACACTGCGCAGACCCTGAGGCAAAAGTTGTTCAGTTTATTTTTGTGCATAACATTTTTTTTTTCGGTTTTTTTTTTTTTTTCTCCTTGCTCGGACGTTCCCTGGTCCGTGCACGGCCGGGCCACCCGGGAAAACAGGGTGACCCGGGCGGCGCGGCTGGTGGCCTAGGTTTGGGGGTCAAATTTTATGTTTTTTATTTATTTTTTATTTTTTGCCTGTTTTTGTTTTGGTTCAAGGTTGCTGTGTGCCAAATTTGGTCTCATTTGGAGCATAGGAAATTCCTCTACTGAGATTTCTGAAATTTCTAAAGATTTCTGAAATTGGAATAATGGTGAAATTTGCATGGAAGTGCACTTTTGCCTTGTGCAAGGAATATGAGTGTGAACAATATACAGAAAACCAAGTTGCGAAATCACACAGATGTCCAGGTAGTCGATGTCCAAGCAGCGAGTACAAAATGCACCGAGAAACCATCCATATATTAGAGCAATACAATGAAGTAATGAGCCAATGTTCAAGCCAGTAGGCCACACCAACACAGTATCCAAAGTCGCTCCTTTATGTCTGGCGCCCAGCGCCCAGCCTACTCTACCCGACTATCCTACCTACAGCTGGTTCACGCAACAGGCTCACTTCGACTCTTGAAGACCAATGTACATGACTGTCAACACCACAGCTGACCTCTCTTCATGCACCAGGTACGTATCTCGTCACCCTCAATCAGACCTTGATTACCCACACTCGCCTCCTTCCCTGAAGACCACCTGATCGCCCTCCTACCCCCTGGCGCCCAGCAGCCCGGCTATGGCTGCCTGCACCCCGCTGCCCTGCAGCGCCCCACCTCACCACTCCGCGCCCCGTCAGCGCCTTTGGCAGCAGCGCGACATCAAGCGATAGCGCAGCAGCACTTCCGCATTGCCTGCACTGGCCAGAATGCCTGGACTGGGCTGCCTCACTTCTTTAATGGAAGTGGCAGCCTCCTGGATGCTGCGTGTGGCCTGGCTGGAAGCTTCCAGTAGCTTCCGGTTGGGCCTCGGACCCTGTGCCCAGGCCCGAGACTACAGTTGAGGGCCTGGGCCCTTTTCAGTTGGGCACGGCCTGAGTCTCCGGACTTGGGCTGTTTGCTGCATCTGTGCAGGGCTCCCAGGCAGGTGCGTCGGCAGTCCTGCTTTTTCAAAGGCCGATGGCCTGCTTCCCAATGTATCGGCCCTGCTTTGTGTGTATGTGCCCAGGCGCAACTGTCAAGGCCTGGGCCAACTGTATGACGCAGCTTAGTGAGGCTCACGCGTCTACCCAACCAACTGGCGTGCTGCGAGAGCCTGAATACCCACATGGAAATGTCAAATTTTGGCCTCTGCCGAATATTCAGGCCCGCCTTCACTTAGGGCGGGCACTCGGCTTGCTGGGGGCCTTAGCTCAGAACATGCGATGTCTGATTGGGCCCCTTGAGGGCTTGTTCCTCACACTTGCTGTTTTTTAGGTTTTTTTTTCGGTTTTTTTCCAATAGTTAGTGTGGTCTCCACTATATCAATTAGCGGCAAGTTTCGTTAAAATGACCCTTGGGTTTTGTTATAAATGACGTGACAATCTGTCTGAAAATTTAGGCCTCCGTTAACCTGCTCCGGCGGATTCGATGCCCTGCACTGTCATCATTGTCATGGACGGATCCAAGGTCATGGCACAGTTCCGTGAGGTGTCAGGGATAGAGCCAACGTCACCGTTGCTGCAGCGCCTAGGCACTTGGGTCTTGAGGCCAAGGGCGATGGTTGAATTCTAAGCGGTGTCACAGATGTGCACAAGGTCACGGCTGCAGGCTGGAGCGGTCAAGACACTCGGCTATTGATAACCAGCTTATGAGCTTCAGTCCTGATGGATAAAATAACCATAGACAGACCCGTGATGAATTTTTTTTTGGGGGGGGGCTTCCCGAAAACTGCACTTTTATCAACAGGGCCCCCTGCCCAAGGCAAGTTACATCAAATGACACCCAGTGATGGGGGGATGCTCTTACCGCCCTCCAGTGTAGGTCTGAACTGCAGTTCAAAAAAAAAAAAGAGAAAAAGAAAAACGACAAACGGTGACAACCGGTGATATTAGAAAAACAAGTGGACCCGCCGCAGCCACGCTGCGGCAGAGGAGATGGACGAAGAGGGGGGCAGGGCTGTTGTTGTTACACTGCCGTTTTTTTTTATAATTTTTTTTTTTTTTTGTCGTCATATTCGCTATACACTCAAAAAAAACATGACTGTGGCAGACTGTTTCCGAGTGATCAGGAGGTTGTGTGTGTGTGTGTGTG